GTCACCCCCAAGAAGAAGAAGTACTGGATCATTAAAAACAGGTAGACCTGCCAAAAGATTGATCAAATTCTCTAAAAGGGTGTTTCCCTAACCTGCTCCTCATGGACCTGCAGACAGTCCATGTTTTTGCTCCCTCCCAGCTCCTAGTAGAGTCCCCGCAAACCAGATTGGAAAACACTGCTCTAAAAAATATCACTATTCTATTCTATTCTATTCTAATTTATATACATCATTGCTTACTTCTCATGAACCAGAGCAAACTAATTGCTTCAATTTACCGTGTCATGTCAAATAACTTTTGATTGTACTTACGTCCCACGTGAGCCTTAGTAAAATTTATCCAGGGATGTTCCATGCAGACATAGTCAACGCTAATGGACATATTTTAACGGATGTAATGTATTTGCCACTATGGAAGTTTAGTTAAATGTGTTTGATATTGTTAAACAGTATATTTCACCTCTCCCACATAATGATCGAGATACACATCATAAGACACTGACTCTCTCTCTCGCTGTCTCTTTTTCACACTCATTTCCCCTGATAAAGCTGGGGGGAAGACTGGGGCAACCAAGGCTACATCCTGATGGCTCGGGGCCGTAACAACTCCTGTGGCATTGCATCCCTGGCCAGCTACCCCATCATGTAACCACTAGGAGGCGCCAAAGCACTGAAAAGAGTGAGAAGATGGTAGTTGCACCCAAGCTACCAGAGCATACTAGCCATAAGGGATGACCGTTACCTTGCACAGTATCTGCCTTGTGGTTTCCATGGTTTCTGTCACATGTCTTAAACCATGGGCATTAAGATGTTCTGTCCTGTGATCTATGTCATACTACACATACTCATACAGAAAATATACATCAAATAAGTGCAAAGGGAAATTTGTGGAAGGCAACCAACTTCAGTAACGTCAGTCATTCCAGAATATTGCACACTTTCTCCATTGTGATTCAGTCTCATTTTGTCATTGTTGTGTACTGTTTAAACATTAAGACAAATGGCCATTGCAGCTGTTGATCTTTGATCGATAGAATAAAATTAAATACATTTTTACATGTGTGTGGCATTGATTAATTTGTATTTGTTATACTTTGTATATAATATGTGTGAAATGATTGTTACTGTTGCTTTAAAGCTGCATGAATGCAATGGATAATGGATATCCATCCATCCTCAGACTGGCAGCATAACAAGCAGGACAAACCAGACCTCTCTCTGCAGGGCCATTGACTGGCTCACTCTGGGGGCTCGCTGGGCATTCCCAAACCAGCTGGGAGATGTCAGTCGCCCAGTGTGACCAGGATCTGCCTCAGGGCCTGCTCCCAGTGAGACCTGCCCTTAAGGAGCTAAGCAGGTGGCATCCTTGTGAGACGCCCAAAGCTCTCAATCAAAAGGAGCCACAGCTCTCTTTCAAGGTCTCTCTGTACTTTTCTCCCTGGCCTGTAGTGTGAACCCAGCAAAGCTGCGCCGGTGGGAAATGAATCCCTCAAATGAAATGCAGTGAGGGGGTGTCGACTTAACCCAAAAAGAATTACACACTCAGTTTTATGATTGTTTAACAAGTGCATCATTACACCACACACACACACACACACACACACACACACACAGAAACTAACAGACAAACCCCAGGAAACACATACCATCCACACACCATCCACTTGATACTCTGGCATGATTTCAACAGACAACAACATTTAGCGACATAACGTTTTCCAGCTTGCCTGTGTCGACTTGAGTGGCTGGTTAGTCAGTGCTGGTTGATACGCTAGTCCCAGGGTCCTCTATCGTAGTTTTTTTTAGTTATTTATTTTTGGATGTCCATTTGGTTTTTTAAAATCTGAACAACGACTAAGCTAGATACCTCCTTGCAATCCCGTGGGAAAGTTGCCGACTCAAAGTCCACCACACAAACAAGAAGTTTACACTACGTTAGCTCACGCTCACCCAGAAAACCAATCAAGGGGATTTGTGAGGATTTGAATGGTTAGAAACAGAATATAACTTTGGTTTTAGCAAATTACATTGGCACGAATTATGTAGTAGTATTTTAAAATGAAAATTGTAAAAAATTATAATATTTATAAATATTTATATTTATAATTAAAAATAGGCCTTAATCTTCACTGGGGGGGGTCCATTTGAGGCGCGATGTCCCCTTGTTCCCCCCCGTGGTGCCACACCTGGAGCCCAGCATCCCTACAGAGGGAAACCCGATTTCACACAATTGTTCTTGAAGAATTTATGCACTTCAGTGATTCACAGAACAATGTCTTCCGGAGATTTTCCACTTATAAGGACTACTTTGGTGAGAAGGTCTGTGGAGAAAGGCCAGATGAGCTAATAACCAACAATGACCCCCATGAAATGTACCAAAAAATACCAGTTCTGTGCTCAAAGTGGGGTTACCAGCTCCCTCCCAGTATGACACATCATAACTGGACAGTAAGAAGGAGCCGAAAAGACCAAGACGGATCAGACCTTGACAGTGGCTGCTGGCTCTGGGATTTGGCACATAGGTGGCGCCATATGTGCACAGTGCTCCCCCTGTGGTTAAGCAGAGCACTGCACATTAATTCTTTCTGACTTGGTCCACCAACCTTGGTCCTATCCAGGTCCTCCCCTGCCTTAATTGTTCCTCTATGCCAGGGTTATTCAACTCACGGTCCTCGAGGTCCGAGCACTGCTGATTTTCCAGCCTTCCTTTACCTGTCAGTCAGGTGTGAAGCCTCTGACCAATCAGAATCAGTAATTATTAAACAACTACCTGGGAGAACTGAAAACACGGCCTGGATTTAGAATCGAGGTCCAGAGTTGAAGAACCCTGCTCTATGCTATGCTATTTTGTGTTCATAAGAAATTATTGGTGGTCAATTTGTTATTTAAAACAAATATATAAATACTAAAACAGAATTTGTGGTGTTTTAGAATGAAAACCACTGCTTTACATATATTTACATATAAGTGTTTTTTCAATGTGCGAATTATTGCGAGATAGAAATGACGAATGTTTCAGAGACAGGAAGTTCAATCATTTCATTTTTAAATACCAATTGATTCTGAACAATTTAGATTGTATGAAATCAGATTTGTGCCAATATTATCAAGCAAAACTTTTTTGACATCAAGCAAAAACAAGGCTTCGAGAAGAAAAAAAACTAACTGAAGCAAAAGAAATGTCATCTCAAAAGTAAAATTTATAACTTGCAAACACGATTGGTCTTTTGATGTTTTCCTTTGTTTACGCTGCCAGCTTTCTCGCTTGCGCTGCTTGTCTTTGCGGTTACGCTGCCAGCTTTCTCGCTTGCGCTCCCTGACTTTTTGCTTACAATTCTGACACAAACTTCTCGCGTGGGCGGGTTTTTTCAGGGACGCGTCCCCATTGGCTAATAAGTTTTTGACTGACAGGTCAATGCCACGGACATTTTTAATTAACAGCGGGACTGGATCGACATTCACTACCCACTAACTAATTTTTACTGGATCCGACAACAAGATTAACGAAGTGTACATGTTGATGTTGTTTGTGCTGAACTATACATTTTATTGTGCTAAATTAGAAGTGAAGTTAAGCTTTGCTATGTAATTTAGCTTTTACCTAATTATAATTAACATTAGCTAATTTGCTAACGTTAAATATGTATAAGGACTGCTAGTTCTAATTAGTAGTAGTAGTAGTAGTAGTAGTAGTGTGTGTGTGTGTGTGTGTGTGTATAGGGCTGGGCGATATGGCAAAATATTTTATTATGATCATTTTTCCATATCAAACTGTTATGATTGCCCAGCGGTCAGGAATTAAGGCAGCGGAGCCGTGAAGTCAGAAATAGGGGGTTTATTCCACAAAACGACAGGGCAGGGTAGAGCACGATAAACAACATCAATGACAGACCTGGGGAAAACGGACTCAGACGCGGACTAAATACACAGAACATGATCAGGGGGCGTGGTACACACGAGGATCGTACGCGCAGATCGTGACACAAACGGTATCAATAATTATCCCGATATATATATAATCCAAGTTATTATTTCTTTACTTCAGTGCTCCATTTTTTATAAAAAAAATTTTAGATTAAAATAATAGATTGAGATCCGCAAAAACAGCGACAAATTGAATGGACTGCAATTTTAATAAATTGCACGAAAATAAACTGACTCTCACTGTTCATCTCTGTATAGATATGTAAGTGCACATATATTCAAGTACACTTGAATTCATGTAAAATGAATTTTATTTTCCATAAAAGTGGAAAATACGGTTAACGTTAGCAAAAAAACTTATTAGCCAATGGGGACGCGTCCCTGAAAAAACCAGGGAGCGCAAGCGAGAAAGCTGGCAGCGTAACCGTAAAGACAAGCAGCGTAAGCGAAAAAGCTGGCAGCGTAACCGCAAGTCAAGCAGCGCAAGCGAGAAAGCTGGCAGCGTAAACAAAGGAAAACATTATCAAAAGACCAATCGTGTTTGCAAGTTATAAATTTTACTTTTGAGATGACATTTCTTTTGCTTCAGTTAGTTTTTTTTCTTCTCGAAGCCTTGTTTTTGCTTGATGTCAAAAAAGTTTTGCTTGAAAATATTGGCACAAATCTGATTCCTTAAGATTGTTCTTGCAACCTTGTAAGCGCAGTGCGCTAAGTTATAATAAAGTATTTCTTCCAGTTAACTGCTTACGGTCAGCTATATTCACCTTTGCCAGACTCCGCTTATACCGGTGTAACTTTCTTTTTCAAAAAAATTACATAACCCTAATCTTATAAGAAAAAGATGTAATGCAACAATCAAAATGTATCATTCAAATAAAAACAATACAAAACACATTGGTAAAAATTAACTGGTAGTTCAAGTTAAGTTAGAACTGAAAGCCGAGTGAAGACATCACCGCACTAGTGAACTTAAAATAATCCCAGTCCACCCTTCGACTTCCGTTCAAACGCTTCCTAAAAGCATTTCAACTGTGTTCTAAGGACAGTCTTGTCTTCTGACCCGCAACAGAACAGGTACATTTTCACTGACTTCAGTTCGGTATTAAATTAATATATTTTAAAATATAGATTCGAAACTATAATAATGCATAGAGCATAATTCTTTATGAATTCTTTATCTTGTTACTTTGTTTCGGTTTCATTTATTTAATATTTTAAGGTAGCTTGATTTTTCTTCAAATTTTTGTTTCAAATCAACTAGATTATGCGTTATTAAAATTACTGACAGATTATATGTATAATACTCGGCATTTCTAATAATTTCCCTCGACTTATTTAGTAGGGTACAACTTAAGTGCAGTTCGCTCCGTTTTTCAACGCAGGCAATTACGTTCTGTTATGAAAATATCAAGTTTTATTTATTTTTTTAATTATCTTGGCATTTACAATATGTGTGCACATTACTTTTTACATATATTGCCGTTGTAGCAGTTCTAATCCATCGTGACTGTTACAGTTTTGAAATAAGTCTGAATGTCTCGTTTGATCCCACAATAACCATGAGAGCTGATAATGACCACTTCTGTAGATTAATATAACAGATAGTATCAGTATCAAAAGCAAACGGAAATGTATCAGAAGGGTCATGTCGGCCACTTGAATAAGTCTGAATTGTATAATTTGCCTACTGCCGTTTTCTCACAGGATGATTTGGTGTGGCGGTGTTCTGCTGCTTCCCATCTTGGCGCTGGCCAACTTCACTCAGGGTCCTTCACTGCTACTGGACTCGGAATGGGAGAGCTGGAAGACCGTCTATGAGAAACAGTACAACAGCCGGGTAGGTTCATGCACGATGACAGACAGATACGGCAAACTGGGTCCCGGACAACATGGTCTTATTATCCTACTGATCAGCAGATACTTCATTAATCGGTTATGCAGTTTAATAACTCTGGTGAAATCCATATAGCTTTTAAAAGAAAGTTCCGAAGATGCTTTTCTGAACCATTTAGAATTTGATAACTTATTCTAATTATTTAATAAGTGAATCATACTATGGATTTCCACAAAGTTGCTGAGAACTTACTGTAGAAATGATTTATTGTACTACTCTTTCTCACCGATGACAGTAATTTCAAACTGCAGCTGTGGGTCAGCCTTAGAGCTCCAAGCTAAGTTAAGCTGCTACTCCCTATAATATTTCAGCTTAGACTCTAATGGACCTATGTTCCTTATTCCTTCAAGATGACCAGAAGATGCAGATTACTAAAACTTTAGGATTAAATGTCAGTAAAGCTGAAAAAGCGAGAGCAGGGCTTAGAACATTATGTAGGCTTCTCCTAAACACCAGTGAAGCTGGAAGAATGGAGAAAGACTCCACCAGATCAATGACAAGTCATGTATCAGTGTTCTGATGACCTGACGGCACATGCTGAGCTTCTGGCTGTGAATGAATGAGCTCACCATAGCCTGGACCACTAAGAACACTGTTAATGATTGGGCTGGAACTTTCAGGAGGAGGAAGGAAGTCGGAGGTCCATCTGGGAGAAGAATATGCGACTGATTGATGCCCATAACCAAGAATACAAGCAGGGGATCCATTCCTATGAGCTGGGGATGAACAGCCTGGGAGACATGGTAAGTACCTCTTACAGTATGATATATCCATGGTACCTGGTACTCTTAGTGCTACCTTGCCCTTAACTTTTACGCTTTCTGTGCCTATTCATGTTTCTTCCATCATCGAATATGACCATACATTAAAAGCTGACCATTTTATGAACCATACTAAGTCCATATATCACATATTTTGACATATTATCTGACAGCTCTACTGATCTGACATATCAAGCTTTCAATTATTGGTGCAGTTAAAAACTTTTTCCACATCATCCAACAATTACTAAAAAAGACAAACTACAGTTTGTCAGTCTTTTTACAGAATCACCCAAAGTTTATTTTGATCATGTTCTTTATTCCATTTTGTTTTCTTACATTTTCCTTCCTCCTCCTTTTTTGGCTGCCAGGCTCATTGTGCGTTATGTCAAGAGAAGTCACTGAAAAACATAGTGTGGAACTTACCACGTGTTAAAAATGTCTGTTACAAACCTTATAATGTTTACCACATGGGCATCGCTAGACACCTTCTACTGGGGCACGTGCTCCAGTATTTATGTGCTTTGCCCCAGTAAAATCTCATGTCCAATTCTTATGGATAACAGGGGGTGGGGGCCCTGTGCCCCAGCAGGGCTTACTGTCTAGCAACCCCCCTGGTTTACCGCCTACATGAGTAATATGGCTAAATATACTGATCTGCAAAGTTTGTTCTTCAAAGGGTTCAGCGGAAACTTCCCTGCAAAGATGAATACTATGTAATTGAAAAGAACTGCAATAGATGCCAATTGCTTTGATCACTGATCTGTACAGACGAGTGAGGAAGTGGCCATGAAGATGACTGGGCTGAGAGTGCCACGGTTCAGAAAGTCCAACAACACCGTCCTCCTTGGTGGTGACCTGGAGAAGCTGCCCTGTTCCATTGACTATCGCAAGAAGGGCTATGTCACCCCAGTCAGGCACCAGGTCAGTGCAGAGGATTGTGGGAGGAGATATTGGACTAGAGAGAGCAGATGATTATTAGCTTTTGTTTTCTTGTATGTTTCTGTAATTTATTATGGAACTAGGCCGACTTTTTATATTAGTAAAAATACTTGTTTGTAATAAATATGAAAATGTAACATTTCAGTCAATGCTAAAGGCTACTTGTAAGGAAGAAAATATCATGCCCATAAAAAAGAACAGCACTTCATCTTCTCCTGACATTTTAACAAAAAATAACCAAAAACACAATAGTATGGGTAGGATGGGAAGCTCAAAGACTTGACTTTATAAATATACACAATTTAATCTTGAATTCTAAAGCCTTTGTTTTTCTGAAAGTCACTTTTGATTTTGATTCACCTGGTAACTAAGATATGTCACTTAACCAGACAACAAAAAGGAGGAAGAAAAGTGCAGCGCAGATGAAAAGAT